GAAGGAGGTCAGGGCCAATGGGCGGCAGTTTCGGGCCTACCAGGATGCGTCGAATCAGTTGTTGGATGCAGGTAAAGTGGCTGGTAGTGAACTTGTGGCTACCGGGGCAGACAGGGCAGAGACAGCCGTCGACGCGGTAGTCGAGCAATGTGAACATGTACATATTCGTTACAATCATAGCACAGAGCCGGATTGGTATAGACTCGAAGCAGCGATTGAAGCTGTCGTGTCTGGCTGTGTCTCGGTTTGAGGTTGGCGGTTTACCCATAACCAGTTGGTAGTATTTGGCGCCGGGCCATTGCCGCGATCCCCTTGTTGGACCAACGTTTTGTTGAGTTCTTCCTGATGTCGTCACAGCGTTGGTGGAGGGCTACATGGTCGGGTGTACGCCCGCCCGTGGCTTTGTGTACAGTTTTCAGGTGAGCATAGATACTGTACGGGAAGTGCAGTGATGGTTTATCCGTGGGCCCAGGCGGGCTGCGTCAGAGGAGTAAGTGGATTTGTGCTGTCCACCGAGTCAATTTGTATTCCCAGACAACCTCCGAGGTAGTCCACGAATGGTTGCGCGGGAAGCAGGCCGCAAAAGTGAAGTAAGTTTGTTTGATGTTTGGGAAACCGAGGGTGTATAGTGTCCGTGATGATGGCTGCTGCTTGGATGGGTGCTGAGTTAAAGCGCTCGAATAGGGGGTCCAACGCATCCTTCCATATAGGCGGAGCCCAGGCAATAATGTTCATCCCATATGTAGCCGTGGATAGGATGAATGTTTTGAACATCACCAGTCGATTGCGGGGGTGTCGCCAGCTGAAGCCATGGAAGCCATAAGCGCGGAAAGAGGCGATACCCAGTGACAATGCTGCAACCAGGGATTGCATATGTTTAGCGAGGTTGATTCCTGGTACTCCGTGAGAGAGTGGGAACCCCAGGTATTTGGAGTGCTTCGGTTCGGCATGTGTGGGCGCCAGTTTCAGGGGGAGGTAACGTGTGTTCCAAGGTGCGTCTGCAAGCGTCGGCGTGATAAGCTCTCCATTTATACGGAGGGTTGGCGCCGCGTGTCGCAAGTCGGTAGATCATACTCGGGGTTTAATGACACCCGGTTCGAGGCCAGATTTGCGTCTCCACGCATCAACGTCATCTAAGAAGGGCTGGAGCAAAACCGATCGAGGGGCTTGGATCCATGTGTCATCAACAAATAAATAGGAGCGGAGGAGCTTGGGCCAAAATTGTGCTAGCGTGACAGCTAAGGAATCCATGTAGATAATAAAGAGCTGGGGGCCGACGATTGAGCCTTGTAGGATGCCATTCGTTCTATGGAATAGAGACGAGAGCGTGTCGCGGTATGTCACTCGGGTAGGGACCCTCCCCAACAGCGCGCGGAGGCAGTTGATCCAGTTTTCGGGCATTCCAGCGCGACGCAGAAGTACCCATAGGCGTGGGAGAGCGACCTTGTCGCATGCTCTGGTTATGTCCAGACAGGCGTCGTTCTACTACTCTTCTGAGTATGTCTCAGATTCCATGGCGGCAAGTACTTGGGTATGACAGGGGTACCGTGATTTGAAGCCAGCTTGGGTAGCATGGGTAGCAGAGCCGGGGTGGCTCGTAATCAGATTAAGAAAGCACTTTTCAAAGATGCGTCTGACTATTTGCGTAAGCGTGATGGGGCGGAAGTCGGCGGGGGAGGTGATATCTGCATCGGATTTCTTTGGGCGCGCTGTTAGGAGGCTACAGTTATGCTACCCAAGCTGGCTTTAGGTGGAATAATCGCGCGCAAGATTTGTTGCGTAGGTGATACAGTCGATGGCGATATCGGTTATATCCATGGGAAGGGAGGCGTTGGTCCGGAGGCGGCGGCATTGCTGGCATTTGTTGGGGCCGATGGATTTAATTCGGGGGAAGTATCTGGAGATCGAGCCCAAAGGTGTGGTCAACACAGATACCGTAGTCCGTCAGCTTATAAGTTTGGAGGGAGGCGGGGGTGGTAGGTCGATGATACGCATATTCAGTACCAGTTGAGCCGCCAGCATAAAGGTAGTTCAAGTGTCACGTCTTACGCAGAATAGTTTCAATCTTTTTCATACTAGTCCGTGATTTGTAGATGCGTGGCCATACTTTCGGGCTTTGAAGTTGAAATCTCCCCACACGACATCTGGTTGTAAACCGCCAATCTCGGGGGGATTCATGTATCGCCTGACGTCTTCTTCAGTGAGCGATTTGAGTGGAAAGTAGAACACGGCCATATGAACGCCAAAGCACATAAAGAACACCGCGTACGGTGAAGAGTGTACAAGTTGAAAATTCGATGGGTGGTGTTTGGAAAAGATGCCAATACCACAGTGTAAAGGGTGTAAGATATTATGCTATGTATTGTGGTGTAGGATATGGTAGTGTGTGTT